CCCTTGATTCATATTCTTAATTTAATAAAGTATTGGATGCATTACCAGATTCTAGACCTATAGTAGTTGCAATAAATAAATACACAAGTGCATCATATGCATTTATTTTGAGTACTGTGACTTTCATGCAATATGAAAATTTCAGATATATGAAATGCAAATATAGTATAATTGATCAGATGTGTATTTTAATTGAGCAGTTACTTCTCTGAACACAACTATAGCTTTAATAGGCTGCTTTTAGTTAAAAACAGTGTAAGAATAATACATTTCTATGTTTTTTACATTCAAACTTTTAGTTACATAAAATGCTATCGAATTGAAATTTGCTTGCTATTTCATACGGTGTAGGTTCTTTAAACAACTACCCAATTCCTGCTGTGTTGTAGTGGTGGCACCAAAGTGCATACAAAAGTCTTAACACACCCAAAAGAGCAATCCAACAATAGACTTGGGTACAGATAGTGTATACGCTTAAAATAAATATCCAATTTATTCATCAATAATAAAATGAGCAACTTAATGGGTGAAGAGATCCTTCAGAGTAACATTTAAATACAGTAAATTCAACTTCATTGCGTCCATACAGAATCTATAATTTAGAGATACGATAACAAAACTAGTATATGTACTACATATACAGTCAAACCCTCTTTATGGACCAAGCTCTGAGAACTTAAAACTAGAGATGGAATTCCCCGTCATGAACTCTAGCAAAGGGTGTAACCGCCAGAGACTTGAACATACCATTAAAATTAAGCTGCAAACACACAGTGAATATGAATATAGCGACCTATTGTCAGCTTATTTAAAATACCACACAAAAGACCCTGGGAAATAGACAAAGTTGTTGCTTTTTGGGGTTTTGTTTTTGGGTGCATTATTTAGCGAATCACCAACATTTTGCACTATTCCAGGTGACCACACACACAAACACACCCCTTGTAATTGGACCACTGAATTTCAATAGTATATTCTTTATTTAATTCATTTTCAGTGAGCAAGTAAAAGGCCTTTAGTTTAAAAAAATAATCTGAAAGCAGAAAAGTTTAATTTGCATTACGTAGTAACATTTAGCAGCACAAAATAAAATAACAGAACAGAGGCTGTCTACAGATCTACTGTAGTACACACACTTTTATAGAATTCCTCCAAGTTCCTCATTTTATTATTTCCTTCCCCTCCCAAGATCCAACAAGTAAACATTTTGGACACTAGCAATTAGAAAGTCATCTTATTTTGTCAGCTTTGCTACCATTATCATCCGGAGTGGCAGTGTATCTTCTACCCATGTGTTTGGTGAGCTCATCATTCTCTCCCATAGGGTGGTTTCATCTGAAGTGGAGTCCATCCAGTCCACTGCAGTACCATAGCTTTTGCCTTAGAAAAACATAAGATATTATTTAAAAGGAAACTTTAAGCACTTTTTTAAAATTGCCACCACAGTTAAGAGTAGACTCTAGGGCAAATCTCCACACATGAACACAAATCAGCAATTTCCCCCCTCTTCTGAAAGCTTTTGACTTACCCTACAGACTTAGCTGACAATTTTCATGGTGTGATTCTGCATTTTCTATACATGTACAACTCCCATCAAACCCAATTAATGGGAGTTGTGCCTACATAGGAACTAGATAACATCTCAGTATTCTCATGTGTTTGGTTTTTCTTGTTTGCTATTTATTAGCTCATCTTGTCAGGATCCCTAGTAAATAAGAAAGTAAGTCAATATTTTCAAACTTTGGTTCCTAAAGTTCAGCATCTAAATCAGTGGCCTGATTTTTCCCATTGACAGAAGCTGTGGTTGTTCAGTACCTCTTGGGAAGAAAAAAAAAAAATAGCATCAGGTCACTGATTCAGATACCAAAATGTAAGTTTAGCTGCTTAATTTCAGGAGTCAAGTTTGAAATTTGTGACCCCAATTTATATTTATTTTTAAATTTGCTTTTGACTATTATAATCCTAATGAACTGTGCTAAAAAGTTCTCTTCTCTGGGAAAAGTCACTTTTCCATGAGTTTGCTAAAGAAACTTTAAACACTTTTTACTTGTTGTCTTCAGTTTGGGGAAAGAAGGCATTTCCTCTCCACGGGCTGAATTGTCATTTTGCGGTGAGATGGTTTCACTATGAAAGTGACAAAGAGGATCAGGGGAAAAAAAATCAAGTTCACTTTTACTTGGGGAATATTCATATTTTAATTTTAAAATGTTTATTTTCAACACACACAATTTTTACTGTCAAGAAAGAAGGCCAAATTTCTCCTTGAAACAAAACCTTGAGTATTTGGGAACACATTAATTTTAGCAGAATTGATCATTTCACACAGTTCTACTGAAAGGGTCTATTCTCAACACTAGAAGCATATACAACTCTACTTATTTATCACACATTGATGTTGAGTTTACTGCCTTAGTGTCTAGCTGCCCCACAATTTTAAAAACACCAAGACTTGCGGACATTAACTTTCAGTTAACTTTAGTAGGCATGACATAAGAGAATTGGGATTTAAGTATTTACTCAAGTTTAGTGTTGCCACAGATCTTATTTTTAGACTGGAGTTTTTCACATGTGCTCCAGTTATCCTTTTTATAAATTTATGCTCTGAACATCACACTTCAATTGCCATAAGAACACTGTTTGCCAAATACTAAGCTAATTCAGAGGACAGTAAACCATGCCAGAATGTACCTAGCCCATGGTGCATGTTATATATGGATGTAAGATGATGGGAATTCATGATTTTGCAATGTTTGATTTAATTATTTCAATCTTAGCATGTGTAACTAATAATTTCAAGATTATCCAGCCACAGTATTAATGTTCAGAGATAGATTTACCAAATGGGGTACACCTCAGGGAAAATGAATGTATTTTTGCAAACTTAGAAAGATTTAGCAATAACCTTGCTAAGATCTCACTTAACTGGGTTTCCATAGGAAAAAAAAAATCTGTCATGTTAATGGCCAAGGAGTGCACATAAGGAAAGAGCTGAAAGAAACACACCTCAGAAATTGGGGTTTTCTGCTTTACATTTATTGTATGCTAAATTCCTCTTTCTTCTTTTGCTGCTCTGGTCACACTTCTCTGAGTCGCTTCTCTGACTTCCTGTTTTTTATACTGCCTCATATTCAACCTCTACAAACCTCATCTTCCAGGCCCCCTCCAATCTTGCCTCAACATATATCTGCATTTTTATTTCCTTCTTTCCCCACCTCCATTTTTACCAAACTTCACTCTTACGTTGCCCCTTCTGCTGAAAGACACTTCACATTTCTCCCGTATGCACCTCTTCTCTTCCTCAATTCCCTTCTTTAAACCCCCTTCTTCCATGAATCCCTCCTCTGAGCACTGCCATCTTCACATCATGGTTGTGTGTCTGAATCAGTTCATAAATTGATAGCAAGTTTTTTGGTGCAGAGACTGTGTATTCTGTGCTTTGTAAAGTGCTATGTACATTTATGGAAAGAGAGACATAAGATTTCTAATCTAATCTGAGATCTTCTCTAACTTGCCTGTACCCCTTAACAGGACCCTACTCCTGCTCTGTGACTGTGTACTGCATTTTGGGATCCCCGCTGCATGAAAGGTGACTTTCTAAATTAAGCCTAATGCCTGCAAGTTTGCTCAGTGATATTTTGCACACAGAGGGAAAAATGGAGAGGCAAGACAAGTAAATGGAGATCCAGGTTGTATTTTGCAAGTTAAGGATTAATTTAATAAATGATCAGTACCTGTTCCCATTCCTATCCTGAGACCTCCCAGAAAGCGATTGGCTAGTTTGTTGTGGTCCCAGACTGTAAGTTCTACACATGCTTCTTTCAAATCATCAGCTCTAAAGCCATCATAAACCATGGTGTGGTTGAACACTGGGCTTGTAGTTTTCGCCACTGCTCTTGTTTTCTGGCGACTTTTCCTACTAGTATCTGGAAGAATGGTACTTTGGAAAGAGAAAACACCGGCAGATTATATTAAAAAAATCTAAGGGCTACATTAACATTCTTTTATATGAATAATATATCTACAGGTTGACATTCTCATTAATATACTATGGACTCTGAGACTGGGGGGAAGAGGAAACGTGCCCACTCTCTTCAGAGAACCTGAGGTCAGGGCTGTTGGAACTAATCACCTCCACACCTCAGAAGATGGAAGAGATAGGTGGATGGGGCAGGGAGGAGACTTAGGAGAACTCAGTTATTGATTTCCAGTCAGTGAGTGCCCTGCTTGTCTTGCTGCTGCCAGAGATTCCTCAGTCACTTGGTCTCTAATGCCCTCTCTATGGCTTTATAATCCCCTGCCAGGAGGGAGGGAGAGGAGACAGGGCAGTTTTCCCTCCTTTCCCACCTACTGCATGGCTTCCCTCCAAGTAGGACATCCATCCACCCACTCCAACCTGGTTTGTTTAAAATGCACAATAAATAAAGCTAGTTGCATTAGAGTTAGCCCTGGTGGTTGATGGGAATGGCAGTCAGTTTTGACTAGCCAGTCAGTCAACCAGGAAGTCGGGGCATAAAGTGCAAGGTTGGAACTCGCCATATACATGGTGTCCCACGGGTGAGTGAAATGCATCAGCCCCACAGGGCATCTTGCAAGGCAGCATCTGGGAAGTCTCTCACTCTCACATGCATGAATTAAGGGAGGATTAATTAGCATAATTTTATTCATCCCACTATTGCGGTTACCATTTAACAAAAGAGTTGATCTTGTTGCCCCTCAGGAGAGGGAGGTCATTGCATTCCTTCACCCAGATGTGGACCTCTCCAGTGGACAGGGTCTTGTTACCTTTGGATAAAATAGGAAACCAATATTCACTCCCCTTAGAAATTAAATGTGAGCAGCAAAAGGAGGGAAGAAGTCAGAGAAGGTGACTGTACAAATTTGGGAGGAAATAAATTCACAGCCATCATACCAAACAAAGGCATGCCTCCATCATTGCATTTGTACCGTATGTATGCTAAACAAATCCCGAAGAAAGCAGACAGAAGAAGGGCAGGTACATTTCCCTGTAGTTTCAGTTGGATGAGGTTATTCTAGACTTCCTGTCCCAAATCCTCACTTGCTGTTGTACTGTGCCACATTCCTCCTCAGAAATGGCAAAATTTCAATGGTGGGTGAGGTAACTTCTATCCTCTAATACTTACCCTCTCTTTTGTGGGAAATAGTAAATAGGTGCACAATTTGCTTATTTTGCATACACACTGGCACAGCTGGGGCCAGCTTTACAACTTACCTGCCTGCAGCTGGTGTGAACTAATACTCAAAGAGCACCCAAAGATAAGATTTAAGTGCACATGCCAAACCATCTAAATGGGGTCACTGATCTGATCTTGAGAGGATTCTTCTACTCTTCTTATTACTTCCATCGTGCCCAACTCAGCTACCGAAGCTGCTGACAGGAAGGAGTGAATTTGTTTCTTATTGGCCGACTTGCTAAATTAAAAGTCTTTTGCTTCGCTGCCAGCCCACCCCAGCCAATTATTAATTCTCAGATAACAAATGACTCAGATCATTATCGCTATTATAAACTAGGTACTAAGCAATTATCGTTCTTTCCCACATTCACTGCCTCTTGAGCTCAGTGCACAGCTACTGTTTGCTTAGCATACGGGTGTTTGCCTGACTGTTAATGAGCACTACAGTAACTAGTGGCGAAGCAGGATCTCATTCCTCCTGCTCTATTAGGTATGTAATCCAACTAGTCGCTAAAAGCCCATGCTGTCATCCAGGTGTAATTCCTAACGTCGTGTGTATAAAAAAAAAAAAGCTGAAAATAGCTGAGAACTTAAACTGAATGGTAACAGACTGAATCCCAATGATGACTGAGCCTGATGATATTGTAAAACAAAAAGAGCTCTCAACTGTGCTTGTAGCAGTTTCCATCACTTAATTCTGATTCAGACCTTCTAGACTTTGGAGTGACAATCTTGGAATCTTACTACATAGATTTATATAACAAGAGTGTCTTGCTTCCTTAATAAAAAAACACCGAATAAGTCATGGTCCTGAAGTGAGTTCATGGTCAGCTAAGCTTGATTCTATAGAAAAATTTCTACTCTTTAGGAAAAAGGTAGTTGAACTTTGGGAAATATATTCCCAAGAGGCTATCGAAACTAAAAGAAACAAACAAACAAAATAAAGAATGAGCACATACCCCCGACAGGCTGTGGGACATACTGAAGGGCTAGTTTAATCTCTCCTCTGTTCTCTAGTTCAAGAGCTGCTGCTGGAGTCTGAAAATTAAAACAAAAAACTCTGGTCACATCCTGGTGTAATGCAATACTCCTTTTTATAGCATTCCTTGTGTGTCTCACTTGTAATGAGGCAATGCCAGAAAGCAGGAAATTCTGCTTTGATACTTATTAGAAATTCTACTTCACACACATGGGTAGCCATTATAGATTACATGTACAAATTGCTATGCAAAAGTTTTCTACAGTAGTGATAGGTTTCAGTGAATTATGATGTGAAGCAGAATTTCTCTATTGCCAACTGAAGATTTTCTTGCATTCTTACCTTCCTCAGTTTGCAGGCAAACAAGAGTTTATGGGAGGAGTTTAACCCCTGGAGTGCGCCTTCAGACGTAAATAGGTGCCTCTTTTGCTAAGGTACTGATAAAGCCCTATGATTGTAGATCATTCTCAAAAGAGATTCCTCCACAGTTTTGCTGCCCTCCCATCCTTCATTGTGTCATGTCTAAAATTAGAACATACGCTCTTTGGAGCAGTAGCCTTTTCTTATGTGCATTGGGAAGCACCTAGCACACTTTTGAGCACTGTAAAAAGTAACATGCAGACTAAAATACCAAAGCAACTTTCAAAAATAGGTAGGCTCTAAGCGGATAGGATGCTTGTTACTATCCTGTAGAACTACTTTAATTAGAAGACCACTTGCCACCTCTTTGGCTTTTGGCTAAGGCCTTACCTACTTACTTGCAGAAAATTTTAAACCAGTTTAGTTAAACCAATGCAAAGAGGCTGTGTGGACATCATTTGATTTAGAAGTAGTGGTTTATTTAAAATTTAGCTAGAATTGACTTAAGCCAGTTGTAAACCAAGTTGAGAGTGCCCACACAGCCTTTAGCTAAACTAGTAGTGTTCTCTGGAAGAGATGTCCTTGGATCAAGTGTAGGATCATTTTAATATGTATCCTATATATACACAAATTACTCTACCTGCAAGGGGATGCAATTGATGGTCTATGCCTCCAGTAATATTATGTAGCCACCTAGGCCACAAAGGCTGGAAGTTCAACTTGGGATTCCCGTTCCTCAGGCTGGTCAAGAGAACAGAGTCAGACTCCTGGGGGTACAAACTGCTTCTCTCTGAAAGCATCCCTACTGGCAAGCCACTCATTGGCACAAGGAAAGGTCTCAACATTGTATGTCTTATCTGCCTGCCTGCAAGAAGCATTTCCATAACTGTAGCCACAACAAAAATGCTCAAGCAGGAAAAAAAATGAGAGAATGGGGGACCTCAGAATATAAAGATGGGCAGAAGCCCGTGACTGGATAGAGATCGCGTCTCATTCGTACATACAACACCTAAGAACTTACCCTAGGCTTAAGCAGGAACCAGTTCATCTGCTTATTCAGTTTGTCATTCCAGTCCCATGTTCCCAAATCAAGTTCCACCTCACCTAGGAAACTATTGCGCCCAAAGGTGTCATTGTGCCAGACAGAGAGATTCAGTCTCTGGGTCTTTACCAGTGCCTTGTCAATTTTATACTGCAAGAAGAGTGAAGCAAAAGAATTACAATTTAAACAAGGCAGCAGAGACGCTGGAACAAATTGTACAGTGGGGGTGCAGAGAGCCATTGAACCAAACTGTAAACCCCGTATATAATGGAAACCACTTAAAGCCAGGGGGTGCAGCAGCACCTATGCAAGGGACTATTTCATCAACACTCAAGAATCCAGGAGTGATCGAGATTAGGAGAAGGCCAGTCGTACTGGGAAATCCATTCAACAACCCATTTAGGTCCATCAGAGACATGTAGAAAATTATGGCCACTGTACATATTTGAGACTCTAGTTCAAAGTTTAAATTCATATTCATCTCACATTTGTTAGTAAGAAATACAGAAAAATCAGTACATCCAATTCAGTAGATCCAAACATACTGAATAATACTTGGCCGGCTATCTTCAAATATCTGTACATACAGTTATTTAATCTTCACTGCACTCCTGTGAGCTAGCGAAATATTATCCCCATTTTGCAGATGGGGAAGTTAAGCACAGAAGTTAAGCTACTTGCTGAGGTTACACAAGTCAATGGCGAGTTTAGAACAGAACTCAGGAGTGCCTGATCTCCAATCCTGTGCTCAGACCACTAGACCATACTTCCCTCCATACCTGTTTTCAGAAACCAAGTCACTCAGTCCGATGCTAATTGAGGAAATACATGTATAAGTGAAAGGAAAGGATACGCTGGGTGTCACAGAGTGTCTGGTCCCATCTGTGCCATAATAAGTTAGCTGCTTTCCAGCCTATTGGGATCAAGTGATAGCTTAATGGACAACTGGGCCTTACAGAAGGACAGGGAGCTCAGACTGGGTTGGAACCACAGGGAGCAAACAAGCTGCTGTGGTAGACCCTGACCCAGAGTCTCCAGAAGGCCAGATGCTCCAAGGGCACCAGCCTGGAGGCCAGTGCTCTATATGAACTAGCCTCTGTTTGTCAGAGGGTGGAGATGGATGGCAGGAGAGAGATCACTTGATCATTGCCTGTTAGGTTCACTCCCTCTGGGGCACCTGGCATTGGCCACTGTCGGCAGGCAGGATGCTGGGCTGGATGGACTCTTGGTCTGACCCAATATGGCCATTCTTATGTTCTTATGAGGGAAGACTCAAAGGTAGCCCAGAAAAGGGCTGAGAATAGGGCCTAGAGAGCCTGCTGAAGAGGAGAATCCATAAAGGACAGGAAAAACTTTTTGTTTACTAGGACTTTCAGTTGGACTTTTGGGGTTATGTTTGTTTGTGATTTGGACAGAGGGCCAAGCTATATCTCCAGCATGGACCGGTGTGTGGAGAGCCAAGGAGACCCATCTTGGGAAAGGAAACTGAGGGAGCGAGTGCTGGTAGTGCCATGCTTGAACACAAGGGGGCACAATGGGGCAGCTACATACTACAATACTGGGCAATAAGAAAGGGCTTCTCGGCTCTCTGTGAGCTGAGGGGTGAAAACATTATCTATAGTTAGGCTGGGGCCTCAAGAAATTTTTGCCATTCACTTGCTCTGTGCTTCGGTTTCCCTTATCTGTGAAATGAAAACAATAGCCCTGCTCTGGAAAGTGTTTTGCAATCTCTGGATGTAAAGTGCTAATTATAGTACTGTCTCTCCTCTTCTCTAAACACTAAAATCCTGAATCTAAGGTATCAAACTGGAAAAACATTCAACAACGCCACTTAAAATACTCAACACAGAATAAAAATGGAGGATTCTATTTTGGGGCCACATGAATATGGGGCCTTGAAAAATCTCAATTCCTGGTATTTCAAGATGTACATTTGCATCATTTATGTGTTCACCTAGTAAATATTAAATAAGTACCCGCAATATTTCATTATAGACTGGATTCAATGTTTTCTTTTTCACAGAGGTCTTCCTTTTCCCCAGCTTGTATTTCTCTGGAAGCAGGTAAGTCTTTACATATCTAAAAATTTAAACAAACAGACGGATAAGGGCAACAAGACATTGTGTAAAACTGCAAGACAGTAGTTTTTTCCCCCCAAATACACAAATCCAAAAGTGAAATACAAGTTTTACAGAAGATAAACTTGGTTAGCAATGCAGTTAGTGTAATGTACACTCTTCAGTTAGTGATTTCTAAGTCATTCAGTACTTACCATTTCAGTAGGTCTGAGTTTTCGATAAGTAATCACCTTAAGAATGAACATTAATGGTTTCTACATTATTGATAAAAAGTAAAAGCCCTCTTTAGAATCACAGAAATTAGAGATAGAAGACATGAGTTGGATCATCTTGTCCCCTGCCCTTCCCAGGGCAGAATGTCTAGACTTTTTGCTGGGATATCCAAATCTCATATTTGGATGTGCCAATCTAAATCTGGACACACAAAACTGGGAATTTACCATGCAGATTATTAATTTGATCATCAAAAATAGAATTTGAAGTTCCTAATAAATTGGGCTTCCTATATTATTCTTTGCTATGGAAATAAATACACAAGTCAGAAATCACATAGAATGTACATGTGTGTGCAGCAGTTATACCTTTGTGTTCTCTATAAATGAGCCTTAAAATCTCTACGAACTGCTATCCGTAAAGCCAGTCAGCCATTTATGTTCAATTCAGTACAAGGAATCAAGGTGGCACATACTTCACTTGTGTATTTTCTCTTTTTTTGTTTTCTTTTTGAAGACCAAGATAATTATGATTGAAAGGCTTTGTCTACACTTCTTGTGCATGGAAAAATAACTTGTTAGGAAAAACTGTGCAACCCTAATTACACTTACGGGTCTGAATGTTGTTTCTTAACATCTGCAATTGCCAAGTCTTTACACTGGGAAACAAAAATATGGAACTCCTTCAGCTGTTCTACATAATCAATGGCAAACTGAATGTGGCCTTTCACATCCACATTGCCAAAGTCTCCACTGTAGATGCTCATTACACTTCCGCTCACCTGTACACATGAAAAGGGGAAAAAAAATTCTTTTAGTCTATGCTTTTGGTCAGACATATAAGTTATTAGAATGGGAAATATTTAAGAAATTCATCTGCACTCAATTCAGAGACAGTAAAGAAACCAACTGTACTCCACTTAGTTGTACTTTTGAAATATGGTTTTCGTTGAAAGATTTTAATCCATCCAATGAGAAATGTTTACATTTCACTAGCTTTTATTATAAGATGATGATTGTAAGCCTCCAAAAACTCAAGTGAAAGGTGCTATGTAGAAGCGCAAAGTATTATTTATTGCATAATATACAAGAAACAAAGTAAAGAGCACACCATATACAGCATATTCCAATCAGAGTCTTCGGATATTATTTTCAGGGCTCTATATTTTCTTTCCCACAGAAAATGGGGCCTCAATACTCTGGTGACGGATACTCTATAAATGCCCAAAAGAGATTAGGGGTAAAATTTTCAAGAATGCCTAAGTGATCTAGGCACCTAAGTCACTTCTGAAAGTTTCGCCCTAGGTGGATTGGAAGAAGGGTAAGACAGATATACAAGTGGATGGCTTTTTATTCTCATTGTCCCCCTTCAAATTGCCCAAAACACTCCTGTGTCACGATGCCGGCAAAGAAAACTTGGCAATGGTTTAGGCCCCTGCCCATCATGCTGACTACCATTGTCTCACTGTTTCCTTGTACTCCCCAGTCTGTCAGTATCCATCTGTTGCCTCTATTCTTCTACTTAGATTGTAAGCTTCTTGGGGGAGGGACTGCCTTTTTGGTCTGTATTTGTACAGTGCTTAGCACAATGGGGTCCTGATCCATGTCTGGGGGTCCTATCCACTACGATAATGTAAATCTCTCTGTTGTAGTAATGAAAGGCATTTGTAATGGCATCAATCCTTTGAAAAGAAAATAAAAATAGTTCAGTCTGTTACATTCATATACTGTCTAAGGTCAAAAAAATGGAGCATTAGACAACTTTACATACACTCTGATACTATAGTGATGAAGTCTAGAGAGAAATAGATACAAAGGAAGGGGAGCGACACAAAGGTTTGGCAAAAGCAGAGTGCCATTAAAACAAGCTTTGGTTTACATACAGAAGACAAGGACGCCATGCCAGAAGAGCCACTAAGATTGGTTAGAGAGCTGGGGCTCTTCTTGATTCTGCCATGAGGATAACTGCTTTCTGATGTTGTATCAGTGTCTCTGTCACTCTACAAGACATCACACAAAGAAAGCCAGCGTGGGCATTTAGAAGTCACAAGGAACACAGTTAAAAGTTGTCATAATTTTAAAAAGCAGACTTGTAAAGACTGGAGCTCTGTGGATATTGGGAGCCACATCCCACAGTGGTGCAGTGCAAGCAATTAATAATTCCTTAAAATTAGATCATGCTTCTGCTTTGCATGTGGGAAGTTAGTTGTACTAAAAAAAAAAAAAAGTTAGAGGGAAACGCCACACATTTTGGAGTTTGCTACCTGTGTTACAAGTTGAAATCTTGATCTAAAATTTACTTTTACATCTTTCGTGCAGTGATTAGTTTAACTAGGCTCATTATTTTTGCTTTCTCATGCATCAGCTCAGTATAATAATGCAATTTATAATGCTAAAATCTTTAACCACTCTGATGCAATTCAAGTGGTTTAGTTAAAGGAGAACGTTCATGGTAGAGGAGCATACAAGGCAACAAATGGCTTTTGGGGGATGCTTTAGCAGTTACATCAGGAGACTTGGGTTCGGTGTTACTCAGCCAGACACATGCCCGTGGAAACACCTGTCCATCCACCTGTTTGCTAGAAGAAGCACGCGGTCTATCTTATTCAAAAAACCCATCAAACAGGTGCTTCAGGAGCATGCCCAGGTCACCAAATCAGGAATATTTTGGACTGGGGGTGGGGCCAAATTTCAGACTGAGTCCATAAACAGAACACCCTGTCAGCTGTCTCCTCTCTTCTACAGTGACGGGATCCAGCTCAGGCACCCCATGCTGACTGCAACTGGGGCAGCATGGCACGGGGAGAGAGATAATCCTGCAGGTAGCAATGTGGGTGCTCATTTTTAGGACATCTGTGTTCTTAAGTCATTGCTGTTCTGGCATCCACTAATGCAACTCCACCAGTGATGATAGTAATTGGAGCTATAGTGTAGACAAGGCTCAGGTATTTTTAGATGACAACATGGACAACCCTGGTCAACTACAGGTTTTGGTTTTGGCATACACAGATGAGGCCCAAAGGGTTCACTCCAAGGCCCATCAACAACTGCTTCTTAAGAAGCCAGCGGACTGTCAACTAGCTCAGATACTTTGCCCACAAGAGCAGAGCATGCTGTCTGCAACACTGAGCATCTACTGATTCAGGGAATGAGACAGATTTCTAACGGAACCCCAGTCTCAGACAGGCTACCACGCTGATCTCCCCAGCATACGGTTATGGGAGAAGTCACCTGATGGGAATATTACACATCTTCTTACAAGCTCTCTTTCTTACCATGTGAGCAGTGTACAGTCTGAAAAAATACTGTATTGTTAGTTTTTTGATTGAGATTGTTTAAGGGAAGCTGTTGCAAACAGCAAGAGAATTTGCTCTCGGTCTTAATTGCTCTAACTAGCATCAGTTCTTGATGGAGAGTTGCATCCCAGGAACTGAGCATTGCTACTTGGTCTGAGATTTCTGAAAGAGGGAATTGCCTACATACTATTTGTGGCCACCTCTGTTCAAGTTCTGGTGTACAGGTCAGGGCCGGCTTTAGGCCGATTCCCCCAATTCCCCGGAATTGGACCCTGCGCCTAAGAGGGCCCCGCGCCTTAGGCGCCTTTTTAATTTTTTAATTATTTTTGCTCACCCTGCGGGGGGTCCACTCCGGGTCTTCGGCGGCATTTTGGCAGCAGCGGGGTCCTTCATTGCCGCGGAAGACCCAGAGCCGAGTGAAGGACCCACCGCCGCCGAAGTGCCGCTGAAGACCCAGACCGCCACTGGGTATTCAAATCGGGCCCCGCAGGTCCTAAAGCCGGCCCTGGTACAGGTAGTGTAAGTTACACTGAGAAGAAACCCCAACTCCACACAACTGATTCAAAAGTAAGCTGACCTGGAAGGCCCCCAAAAATAATACATGAAAATTACTCCTCTTTATACTATTTTTTTAAAATCAGATACTTGCCTCTTCTTGTAGAAATGCTGGTACTGACTGGCTCAGTCTTTTGAGTTTTTCAGGATTTGAAAACTGGTTATCCAGGTCTGAAGGCACTGTGGAGACTAAAGAGCAGCAATTCAAGTTTTAAAAATATCCTGCCTTCTGACAATAACCAAACTTGGTCCTAATAAGCAGAGATTGGGATAGACTACTTTGGACAAAAATACATTTACATGCACATGCTATATTCACATGTAACTTGTATGCAAGATATTTTATAGATTCATCAATTTTAAGGGTAGAAGAGACCATTATGGTCATCTAGTCTGACCTGTACAACAGGCTAAAGAACCTTGATTCACTATGTTGTGCTGTACATAAAATATAATTTTTGCATATAATACAATATATTACACTAACCCAGGTGCTGAATGAAAGTTTTGACCACAAATTTAAAGATTAACTTTAAAAAAAACTTTTACTTGCCAACTCTTAAGGTTTCTGATTTCCTCCTAGAACAGAAGGAGGAACCGTGCTTTTTAGACATGAACACGGTCACTAAATGTAGCTGAGATAACAGAACTATGGCTCTTGATCAGTAAATAAAGGCCAAGCCCTGCTCTCCTTACTCATGCAATTAGACTCATTCATGTCAATGGGATTATTCATACATTAAATGAGCAGGGTTTAGACCCAGAAGAGGAAGTAATTTTCAAATATTCTGATTTGGTTACATATAATGTATTCTGATAATGATTCGGTATCTAAAGCAGGTCTGTTCACCTTCGAAAGTGTTTTCATTGAATTACACTGCCGAATTCTTAATTTAATACATTTTCCATAGCAACAGTGCAGAAGCTAGCCTTGCAAGTAACGATTTATACCAAACCAATGCTTCTCAACCTTATGCTATTGCATGATCTTTTCCATCCCAGGAGTCCAGCCCCATTTAGGAATATGGGAAAGGTAAGGTGACACCCTCCCCACCCCCCCGACACCTGTTCAAAGCCTCCGGGTTGAGGACTTAGGCACTATACCTGATGTTTGCAAAACTTCACTAACTGTTTTTGCTACAATGTCATGCACTATCATTTCCCATGACAGACAAGTACCACCAATTTGGCAGCATGCCAGATACAACCAAGGTTAAGTGTGCATGCAAATGTTGTAGCAACTATGTACAATTCCTCCCCAGATGTCACACACGTGCATCCCAAACAAGACAAGGTCTCTCAGTCCAATTATCCCGAAACTGAAACTGTACCTCAAGGTTACATTGAAAACACACAAGGCATTGTTGGCACGCAGTTAGCTTTGTGAGCTGCAGCATTTAGTAACAAAAACAAAGTCTAGACTTATTAGTTAGTTGATATTAAATAAAATGGATTTGAAACTAAATCAGTGGAGTTATATCCACTGGTTGATGGAAAGATCCTATTACTCACTTCCTTGTACATTTTCATTTGTCTCTTGTTGCTGATCTGTTTTCTGATCTGCTCAGAAGGGCAACATTGAGAACAATACATTGTCATTCAATAGTAAAGATATCAGGTTTGTATAAACAACAAGGAGTCTTTGTGGCACCTTAGAGACTAACAAATTTATCTGGGCATAAGCTTTTGTGGGCTAAAACCCACTTCATCAGATGCATGGAGTGGAAAATACAGAGGTAGGTATAAATACACAGCACATGAAAAGATGGGAGTTGCCTTACCAACTGGGGGGGGGGGGTCAGTGCCAACGAGCCAATTCAATTAAGGTGGAAGTGGGCTATTCTCAACAGTTGACAAGAAGGGGTGAATACCAAGGGAGGAAAATTCACTTTTGTAGTGCTAATGAGGCCAATGAAATCAAGGTGGCCCATTTCAAACTGTTGACAAGAAGGTGAGAGTATCAGCAGGGGGAAATTAGTTTTTGTAGTGACCCATCCGCTCCCAGTCTTTATTCAGGCCTAATTTGATGGTGTCCAGTTTGCAAATTAATTCCAGTTCTGCAGTTTCTCGTTGGAGTCTGTTTTTGAAGTTTTTTTTGTTGAAGAATTGCCACTTAAGTCTGTTATTGAGTGTCCAGGGAGACTGAAGTGTTCTCCTACTGGTTTTTGAATGTTATAATTCTTGACGTCTCATTTGTACAATTTATACCTTCAAGTCAGCGGGACTGCTATGGGTACCCGCATGGCCCCACAGTATGCCAACATTTTTATGGCTTACTTAGAACAACGTTTCCTCAGCTCTTGTCCCCTAACGCCCCTACTCTACTTGCGCTACATTGATGACATCTTCATCATCTGGACCCATGGGAAGGAGGTCCTTGAGGAATTCCACCAAGATTTCAACCTTAGCCTGGACCAGTCCACACAAGAGATCCACTTCCTAGACACTACAGCGCAAATAAGCAACGATCACATAAACACCACCCTATACCGGAAACCTACTGACCGCTACACTTACCTACGTGCCTCCAGCTTTCATCCAGACCACATCACATGATCCATTGTCTACAGCCAAGCTCTAAGATACAACCGCATTTGCTCCAATACCTCAAACAGAGACAAACACCTACAGGAACTCTATCAAGCATTCTTAAAACTACAATACCCACCTGGTGAAGTGAAGAAACAGATTGACAGAAGGGTACCCAGAAGTCACCTACTACAGTATAGGCCCAACAAAGAAAGTAACAGAACGCCACAAGTCATCACCTACAGCCCCCAACTAAAACCTCTCCAGCGCATCATCAAGGATCTACAACCTATCCTGAAGGACGATCCCTCACTTTCACAGACCTTGGGAGACAGGCCAGTCCTCGCTTACAGACAGCCCCCCAACCTGAAGCAATTACTCACCAGCAACTACACACCACACAAAAACACTAACCTCGGAACCAATCCCTGCAACAGACCCCATTGCCAACTCTGTCCGCATATCTATTCAAGGGACACCATCATAGGACCAAAACACATCAGCCACACCATCAGGAGCTCATTCACCTGCACATCTACCAATGTGATATATGCCATCATGTGCCAGCAATGTCCCTCTGCCATGTACATTGGCCAAACCAGACAGTCTCTACGCAAAAGAATAAATGGACACAAATCAGACACCAAGAATTATAACATTCTAAAACCAGTAGGAGAACACTTCAATCTCCCTGAACACTCAATAATAGACTTAAAAGTGGCAATTCTTCAACAGCAAAAAACTTCAAAAACAGACTCCAATGAGAAACTGCAGAACTGGAATTAATTTGCAAACTGGACACCATCAAATTAGGCCTGAATAAAGACTGGGAGTGGATGGGTCACTACAAAAACTAATTTCCCCCTGCTGATACTCACACCTTCTTGTCAACTGTTTGAAATGGGCCACCTTGATTACATTAGCACTACAAAAGTGATTTTTCCTCCCTTGGTATTTACCCCTTCTTGTCAATTGTTGAGAATAGCCCACTTCCACCTTAACTGAATTGGCTCGTTAGCACTTACCCCTCCCCACATGGTAAGGCAACTCCCATCTTTTCATGTGCTGTGTATTTATACCTGCCTCTATATTTTCCACTCCATGCATCCAATGAAGTGGGTTTTAGTCCACGAAAACTTATGCCCAAATAAATTTGTTAGTCTCTAAGGTGCCATAAGGACTCGTTGTTTTTGCTGATACAGACTAACACGACTACCACTCTGAAACTTGTCACCAGGTTTGTATAGTGATTGTAGAACCAGACACTTTATACATCAACCTGAAGATCATCTTTCGTCCTCCTTCACAATCATCATTGGCCTGGATTTCCAAAACTCCATATCATCCCTCACTATACATTTGCGGCATTTTCCTTTTTTGACAATCTGGAGTGCAACCAATGCAATACCTCATCAGCAAGTGAAGTCCAAGCATTAAAAACGGGATTTTCAAAAATGCTTCAGTACTGGCCTGAGGCCGCTCCCTCTGAAATCAACGTTTGACCAAGTACTGAGCACTTTGGAAACTCCCAACCTATATTTGCCAGGATAGATATTTGTGTCAGCCTTTACCATGACTGACTGGAGCACAAAATTAATCTGGCTGCTTGAAAAGACAAAAAACCCACCCTTTCAGCTCAATTATATGTAGACATTTCAAATATATTTTGATTGAAATCCACAGCTATGTCCCCAGTTCAGGGAAATGCTTAAGTACATGCTAAAAGACCCATTGATTACTCTCTGCACCATGCAATGGACAGCAGTATAGGGCCCAAGGTGCACTATGATCAGACTAACTACAAAACACACTGAAGCCTCTAAAAGAGAGTCAGAAATAAATACAACTAAGTGTAACTAGTTTTAGAATTGTGGTGCCACTGGATAGCACTTAAAAGGAAGTAAAAATGTGTTATATACCACCATATTCAGTGTCACTATCTCAGTGTAACCTAGTCATTTTTGGTTTTGTTTTAAATTCAGGATCCTTTAGTCTGTGTTTACAAACACTCACTCAATGACATCAATGGGAGATTTGTGCACATATATGATGGAGAATTTGGCCCACGCAATGTACCAGATTAATTTATAAGTGAACTAGTACATCATCAGTATCAAGAGTAGACAAGCCAGTGGCTTATCCATTATCTCAGAGCAAGCAAATCCACTTGTGTCTTAAGTCTTTGCTTTGCAGGATAGAACCATCTTACAGTGCAACAAATGAGCATGCTAATTTGACATTTTAGCGGCCCAATTCTCCATTGAGTCAATACCCAAAGCGCTCATTGACTTCAGTGGTCATGACACATGTGGAATGCCTGAAGGATGAAGCCCAGATAACACACTATGTGACATAAACAAGGTTTCTTACAATAATACGTAGTGGGATATAACAATAGTAACATATTGTTTAGAAATAAAAGCAAAGGTAGAGAAATGCTACCCAAGTATTTACATCATGCAGAAATTAACTAATTAAATTACCATACAGCAGTGATACAATTCTGAAATTCACCAACTCTGTGGCTGGTGAGTGGAGGAGGACACTGAAAAAAATACTATGTTCATGCAGACACAAAGAAGATATTTACCATCTTCAGCACTAAGTACTAATTCTTCTTTTGGAATATCTACTTTTCCTTTATCTGTGCAGGAAAAAGTAACAGTTAGTAAGTTTGCTGTTCAGGAAGGTAGTATGGATTATAGTGGCAGCCACAGAGTTTATAAGAAATAAGGTCAAAATCAGCAGAGCCACAACCAAGGTTAAATTCACAAAGCACAAGGTTAAATGCTGTCCATAAAACACTTTCTACTTGGATTACAAAATTCAACTAGTTTGCTATAAAGGGAGCTCTCATGTCATTGTTTAATGCAGTTTACATCAGTACAGTGCTGTACTGATGCCTGAGGTCCTAGAGTCAATTGCAAATAAGTAACAGCACGTTAAAAAAAGAAGGAGAGAATTATGAGTTCTTATGTCTGTATTTTAAACTAGTGTAAGATGCCTGAATTGGCCAGCTCCTTCCAAAAGCCAAAGCTCTCTTCACAAATTTCTACATGCATGAAGTTTCACACATTTTCCCCATTATGCACAGCAATCAATAAGATATTGAAAAATACATAACCATGAACATAGGTGTAAGTGAAATTCTGAACACAAGTATATTTGATTGCATAATTTATATAGGAACTCAGAGCCAAATTTGCTGCTGGTGCAAGTAGGTGCAATTCTACTGAAGTCAGTGCAGTTGCTCTCACTTGCACCACTCATTAATTGGGCCCATATCCATTTGTGGGTGAAAGTAGATATTTATCTGTTGCTCCTTTGGGTGCTTGCACATCCCCTTATTGTATAACAAGCACAAAACCCATTACTGAGCAAAGCCATGCTGATTAAGACCAATTCAATGCATATTTCTCAGAAGAAGTCTGCTGAGTGAATACATTTACATGAACACTCCTGTGTAAACTCCATGCAAGTTATTTATAAATAGAGCTGGCTCACAGGAGAAAACTATAAACATTGAGAGCATTTCAGGAGACTCAAGGCCGATCTGGCTTTAAAACAAACAAACAAACAACCAACCAACAACCATGCAAATGGCAGGACAGGATTAAATGTTTTCTCAGTCACAACCTGGACATTTATAGATTTACAGCTAGTGGCAGAGAAGAGTTCAGTAAATCTTTAAAACTTGCTAGTGGAATTAGGAATGGACATGGCAGTTGCATACCTTGCTTGCCTATTTCCTGCCACTGCAGGTATAATCATTGTTACAAAGATGGCCATCTGAATGGAATGTGAGAGGAGATGAAGGAAGGGGTTAAAAAGCATGCCTTAATTAAGTGTGCAAAAAAGAATCCTATTTTATATTCAGCTGTGACTGAGAATGAAATACAGGAATAAGTGTTCAAAATGAGCATGCAGTATTGAAATCAAAACCTGGTCAAAAGCACCATTTAGACTAGAGCACTGCTCCTTACTTCTTATTCAGAAGTCGAGTTATAAAGTACGGTGGTTATTTATTTACTTATTTTGGATGCTCATTCTGAGGATAGTTTTCCTGCCAAAACCCATGGTTGGAATATTAGAGTGCCAGTTGGTGAAGATGTGTGGAAGGATAGTACCGTAAATAAGTATTTTTAAGCTTAGTTGGGGGCAAGGAAGACAGCAGACAAGCTTTGTGCTCACTTGATGTGGCTGATGGAATGTCCTCTAGACTTTTGGAAGGCCTTTGCCTATCTGCACTCCTTTTCAAAGCCTTCAAAATAGGATCTAATTCTTCTGAACCTGTCACGAGACAAAATACATGAACGCTGCACAAACAGACAGACATGCCTTTTTAAATGAGAGCCACTTAAGAAATCAATGGCTATTTTTAACTAACGGAGAGATATTTTTAACCCTTAGCAAAACATTTAAAATTCTAGTTTTGACAACGGTGAAAGACCAAAAGAAAAATGAGGGAAAGGTGCAGATGTTTAGTCATGGATTTGGAGACATAATGGAATTCTAAATTACTAGGTAAAAATACATGCACTACCAAAGACCAGCAGGATCAATAGTCACTGAATTTAATAGCTTATATTACTTGGACACAGGTTTTCAGGAATACATATTTTAGAAGTGATTTAACTGGAAGTTGCCATGGCAGCATTGTATTGACTGGGGGGGAAAATGGAAATCTTACAGTAATTTTTAAGAGTTATGGAGCAAAAATTTACCCTTTGGTGTGTGTGTTTAGGGCTCCGACTAATCAACAGATGTGCCACGTGATCATTTGGGCCTATTGTTTTGTCTACATACACACATACTAGAGGTAGGCAAACTAATTCAGACTCATTGCTTGAGATGGACACAGTGACACAGCTGTATCTACAACTAAGCAGGAGTCTAGCTAGAAAACCAAACCCGGTTATAGAACTGCTTCCTGATGGAGACCATCACTTTGGGTGCTAACAGTGGGGGTTATTTTAATAATGGGGATGTGTTCCTATTTGAATTAAAAAAAAAACAACAACAGAGGCCACAATTCATGTCATGTAGTCCAAACAGCAGCCATAGGAAAACTCAACTGCTACCACCATGGGACAGATTCAGATCTTAGAAGTTAACGGTCTCATCTGTCCCAGTTGGCAGTCCCATGTACCATCTCATCCCTTCAAAAATCCCTTTCTGCCGCCTTCCCCCACCCTCCCCATGAGCAAAAGTGACCCAAAATGCTTCACTTTAGCTATGGCGCAAAGCCTGAAGCCCTTGCTCAAGTTTTACTCATTCTTCACCTAGGCCAGAAGTTCCATTGGCTCCAATTGTGTTTTGCCCGAGTTAAGAGTGAGGAATTAAGGATCACAGCTGGCAGCCGCTGCAAATTTCACAGGTTTCTCAGTCTCTCCAGTTAAGAGGAACAATCCTGATTTCTCAGAACAAATATTAAATTAACCCCTCCAACTGAAGCGTCTCCAATAGTTTAATTACATCAGCACTGCCTATCTCATACTGTACAGGAGACCAGAGCCACTCCAGTGTTGCCATCTGTTCCAGATGCATCTCTAGTTGAATACTAATTTTTCAGTGGAAGATAACGCTAAGTGAACATGTTCTATTCTGGTGCAACAGGCTGCAGCAATGAATTGATTAAGGCGGGGTGTGCCTTCTCCTTTGCACGTTGTGGTGTAAATACACATTAGAAAGCAGAAGCAAATATCTGGTTTAGCCAGATATCCCTTGCTAACGGGGCCCCTTTCTTACATCAGCCAGTAAAACGCTGTGTAAAAAAAAAAAAAAGCTCTAAAGCCCGAAGTTTAAATAATGGAACTCACTGTTCCCACATTGAACAAACTGCCACAAGGCGAAGAAACCGATGCGGAAAGCCCGACTCTTTCTTTATAGGCATGCAATAGGGTTATTCCAGCCCAACTCCCCGTTCTGCAAGCCATACAAAATGCATGTCTTTTCAAAACATCTGCTGACTCAGGCATTAAAAAAGTTCATTAGAAAAGATGCCCAGATCATTCAGTTAAGAAAATGAATGAGAATCTCAGTCAGGCTTTTGGTTCACCATTCTTAAGGTACGTTATCAAAAAATTCTAGCCATATTTCTTAAATAATAATTAATAAATATAATAATAATAAATAAAAATCCAGAATGATTGATTTAAGAATTCAAAAATGCTCACAGGTTGAACCTGAAAGATCAGAGCCAAAACTTATGGTGTCATCTTCATCATCATCATCATCATGAGATGCTAGGAGCAGCTCAACTTTACTTATTTTGGAAGAGCGATCATCATCTTTAAGTGGTGTGCTTGCTCTCCTGAATCTAAATGGTGCATTCACTTCAGATGTTGCCTCACTAGCATCTGCTAAGGAAGCGCTTTTATCAACCTCCTTTCCTGCTGCTTCCTCTCTTTTATTTTCATTTTTTATCTCCATCTTATGTGTCTTGATAACAGCCGCACCATCCTCTCTTTCCTTGGGAAGGGCTTCAGTTGATGCCAGGTTAGTCTGCATGGTTTTCTCAAATGCTACATTTCTTTCAGGGAGAGTAGAACCTCTCGCTTCATTTACCACATGATCTTCCTTCACGGCCTTGTCATTTTGTTTCAAAGTCTCTCTCTTGATTGGTATCTTAAACTCTGTGCGATAGCCACTTGAAGCACTTGGACCAGAGAGTGGCATTTTAATGGCTAGACTTCCCTTTTCTGATTGAGACACAGAGTCATTGGGTCTTTCCTGTTTTCCCATCTTCGTTGGCAGCTGAGATGAAACGTCAGATGCTTCTTTAACAAGTTTTTCTAAGCAGATATTCAATTCACTGCATTCTGCTTTTGTTGGAGCAACAGTTTTTTCTACAGTTTCTTTTATTTCTTGAGGATGGTCCATCTCTTGTTGGTAAGGGGAATACGCACTCTCATTAGGCTGTGTCCTACCCTGTGTTACGCTATCCAAGCTTTTCAGCTTAAGAGGTGGAGTTTCAGAGGCTTCCTTAAGCAGTTTCTGCAAACTAGCATTAAAGTCTCCAAGCTCAGATTTGGAAGGAGCAACAGCTTTTGCTACCGTTTCCTTTACTTCTTGAGGATGGTCAATATCTTGTTGGCAAGAGGAATTCACGCTCTGATTAGGCTGTATCCTAACATGCATCTCATTGTCAAAGCTTTTCTGTTCAGAGGGTGGCATTTCAGAAGCTTCCTTGAGCAGTTTCTGCAAACTAGCATTAAATTCACGGAGTTCAGGTTTTGGCTGAACTGTTTTTACTAGTATTTCAGTCACTTCATGATGGTTACCAGGAGATACAGGATGATCAGTCTGATCCTCTGGCCGAGAGCTTACATTTTCTCCACTTTTTGCATATAAAGGTAACAGCACTTTAGCTGCCTCTTCATTTGGTTTCTCCAAGCATGGATTGATTGAGCTAACATTATCCTGATATGGAACTGTAGTTCTCTCTACAGTCCCAATTTCATTTGGAGTCCCAACCCTTTCTTGGGCAGTAACAGAAGTAGCCTGGTCAGTCTCTGTGACCCGCTTATAATATCTTCGCCGATCTTCTTCAGGGACATTCTCAGATGCTGCTTTTTTACTGTTATCTATAGTGTACGATGAAAATGAGATTGCGGATGCTTCCTTAAGTAGTTTCTTTAAACCAGCATCCAGATCATGGAATTCAGCTTTTGGTGGAACCGTGGTTTTTTCTACAGTCTCTGAGACTGCCTCTCCAGGAGGCTGTGCTTCATTCTGGGTCACAACATAAGCAGCTATGCCAGGACGCATTGTCTTTTGAGAAGAGCTTGGAATGACTTCTTCATGAGAACTCTCTCTCTGGATACCCTCATCTGCTGCCTGATGCGATGGACAGGAAGCGTCAGATTCCTTAAGCAGCTTCCCTAGACCAATTTTTAGTTCATCAAGTTCATCTTTGGGTGGAACGACTGTTCTTTCTATAGTTTCTTTTACTTCTTGAGGAAGCACTTCCTCTTTTTGAAATGTAGGATAAGTGTTGTGACTCCGTTCCATCACCTTTTCAAAAAATCTTCTCTGCCCAGGCCAAGAAACTGTCTCTTCAGAAATATTTTCTGTTACGTTCTGACTAGAAGATGATGATATTTTGGAGGTTTCCTTTAGCAGTTTCTCTAGCCCTGCATTAAATGCATCAAGTTCAACCTTTGATGGAGCAACAGTTTTGTCTACAGTCTCTACAACCTCCTCTTTAGGGGATTCTGCTTTTTCCTTGGAGTCTTTGGGAGCAGTCTTGCTCTGCATTGTTTTTACAGAAACAATTAGGTGTTCATCAATTCCCAATTCTTTTCTTGGAACACCTTTATCACTAGCTGGTTGGAATGATGGCAAGGGTGCCTCAGACATTTCTTTAAGCAGTTTCTGTAAGCTACTGTTAAATGTGCTGTGCTGTTCTTTTGGTGGAACACTCATTTTTTCTATATATTCTTTAACTTCTTGCTCTGGAAGATCCACCTTTTCTTTAGGTTTTGAGATCACTGACTTTCCTACATTTTCCCCCACTATTTGAAGAGATTCTGCATTTTCTGTTCTTGTCAGATTCACTGACCAAGGAATGGGCTGCCCTTCCTGTCTAGGCGACTCAGGTACTTTGAAGTTTATTTTCTTTGTTTTCTCTCTCTCGGGAAGTTGATTTTGCTGTTGAACAATCACCTCTTCTTGGCTCGTCTCTGCTCTGCTTTCTTTAAGTTCCTTTGATTCTTTTTGGTAAGTTACTGAACTAATATTACCTGGGGAAGTGGTTTCATTTTTCATATTGGTCCTACTCTGTGATTTAGCTCCAATATCCCAAAAGCTTCTCAAACTCTGAAATTGCAATGGGTTGGAAATTTGATTCTTAGACTCCTCATCTATTTTTTCCTTCAAAGACAAAACCTTAAAATGTGGCTTCTGTTGTGTAGAAGAGGGATTTCTGTCATTTTCTGAAGACACTTCTTTCCCATCTTCATACTTCTTTGATGAAGTAGGAGTAAAACCAATTCTTGGTTGCAAATGATTTGCTTTTGGCAATTTTGTAAATTCATTAACCTTACCATCAGACTGAAGTATTTTTCTGGACTTCTCAACAGTATGGTCTGCTTTGGATTTATCCATTATATCTGGCCCAGTCTTTGAAGACTTTAGAAATTTATCTTTAGATGCCTCGTCATCACTTAATTCAACTCTTCTGAAGGTAACCCAACTATACTTGTTTTGATCTTTTGATTCACTTGATAGGGATGCTGCAGAATCATCAGTGGGTTTTACTTTGCTATTTCCTTTATTGATGTATTGTACTGTGCTACTAGCTGATGGGGTAGTACTTAAAATGCCTTCCTTATTTGTATGCTTGGGTCCAGTTTTGTTGCTTTCCCAGAAAGCCCTAATATCCCTTACTCTTCTCTTTTGTTCTGTCTCCTCATCTGAGATTTGTACCTGAGATGGCTGTTTGGATTCATGCTGTGGCAAGACGGGTAGTTTCGTCCTAGGACTACTTGGCTCTAGTTGCATACTTCCTTGATCAAGTAAACCAGGTTCTTTTATCTCTGTTCCTTTATTATCAAATCCAGTCTGTGACTGGACATGGTCTTCTTCCAAGAGAGATTTGATAATGCATATTTTCTCTTCCTCTTTCTGAATTCCTTTCTGAATTTGCACATTAGTTTTCAATAGCGAACCTTCATTTAGCTTTTCAGGAGAACTGAAACTCTTTGAACCTGGTTTGTCTTTTCCTTCTGTAAGAAATGTTGGTTCTTTATATGCTGCACTTTCATCCTCTGGTTTGTATAATATTTTGCCTTCTGCAGCTGATTTTTTAAGAATATTTGTTTCATCTAATTTAGTAACTGGAAGATCAGTGACCTGTAAAGGTATCTTCTCTCTGCCACTTTTGCTCTTTCCAAGTACAATAGGTCCTTTGTTGTAGTCTGTTCCTTGAGTCTCTTGACTTAGATTTTCTTTTTTTCCTACTTTTATTATCTGTATGTCTTCTGCATCAACTGCTGCAGGTTTCAAAACATTGCTTGGTTTCCCATTGTTTCCAAATGACAAGTCAATCAGTTGTGTATTTTCATCTGTGCTTGGTCCACTATCTTTTGTAGTTATAACTCTTGTCCTGGGTGATGAGTACAGTTCTTCTTTGGACTCTCTCCCTTGGGAGGCTACCGATGGAGTATTCTCATCACCAGTATTGGAGCTTCTTTTAAACCAATCTAATACTTTTGATATGGACTCATCAGCTGCCTTCATGAACTCAGCAGCATGTTTATCAGGCTTGGAAGTGGTTTTAGCACTTTGATCCTCAACAAGAACAGGCTTACCTTGTTGAAGGTCTGCAGAGCTGGCATTTGGCACCTGAGGAGATTTTGTCTTAGCAGAAAGTGGCTGCTGATCTGTAACATAAAATCACCTTTCAAGATAAGGAGTCAATAAACATGATTTTGCTGAAACAGGTTTTCCACCCACCTTGATAAAAAAATCTAGTAGTGCTCATCATAGCTTGTTTCCCCTTCCCACTGCTGCTTGTTATTTTAAAAACAACTGTTTACGTGAAAACAGAAATCAAAAAGCCAAAATAAAGAGTGATATGATGGGGAAGGGGAGTGGTTCTTGGGAGCCTATCAAAGTTTACCACCAATTTGGAAGAAAGGTTGGAATGGTTTTCCTGCCTTTGGCAGGGATGGGTTAGCAGTATCCCGATATGGGGTAAAATCCACAGGATTTCTTCTTGGGGTGCATAAAAATAGTTAAAGCTTTTTTTTTGCTTTTGAAATGCATCATATTGCAGACAAGGTATTTATTAAAATATAATTAGTGGGTTAAGAGACTCCTCTAGACATCCATATGATGCTTCACTTTCCACCAAGTCCCCACTACAAGTTACACAAGCTAAAACACAGATATATCCCATATGCTTGATCTTTTAGCTTGAAAAAAATATTTTCAGGTAAGAACATTGATATACTGGCAGCACAGCAATGAAAATAGGCTTGTAGAATAAAACTGGAGCAATTTATGAATGAGTAAAGTCTTAATCCACATTACAACCTTACAAAAAGTTAACTCTGCAGGAACACTTATGTTTGCTTATAATTATGGCATTTTGATTCTTATTCAGAAGTGAATTTTTCATCATTTAACTGCCATGTTTTTTATTTAATCACACATGTTAAAAAAAAAATCCCCAAATCATAGTACCATTATTACCACTAACAGACA